TCTTTTTGCTAAACTGCAGTGAGTTCCCTATTAATACATGCACTATGTTATACATGTAAAAGCTGATGGTTTCTATTTTCTAACTTGCAAAACCACGAGGCCTGCTTCTTGTATGGGGAGGCTTGAGTTCTAACCTTTGGATGTTTTTTGCCAGTTTCCCAACCCCAGTTGCATTTCCCCCAACCTCAGATACTGTTAGTTGAGACTGGAAGAATAATGATGTTTATTGACAGCATGCCCCTTGTTGGGTAAAGTTTTGGGCAGGAGTGTCAGTGAAAGATGAGGTATGAAAAAGACAGCAACAGTAGTAGTGTCCACTTCAGGCAGAGAAATGCCACTGTAACTTGTAAATTCTCAGATGATAAGTAAGAGAAGAGCAGATAGAGGTTGTATATGGTTCCTTGTTATATTTTAGAGGGCTATTTTACTTTCCATATGCTGAATTCAGTATATTTATTTGCCAACCTACTGCATTTTCTCGAAACACCTATTTCTACGAGACAGCCAGCCAGCCTAGGCAAAAGCTATTTTTTTTATTTCCAAGTCTTGGAGTATATATATCATTACAACAAAATTGTACTATGAGGAAGAAACACATACTTTTTAATGGCAGTTATTTTAATGAGATCTTTACCTGTCCTAAAAGTATTATGATCTGGTAACTTGCCTAAAGTATACTTATAATAAAGCATGGTTGATGAGTTTATAGCCTCCAAAGCCAGTTACCTGTCATTTATTTTGTGTTCAAAAATGTTTTTTAGGAGCCAGCTAATCTATCATTTAAAACATGTTTTAGGGCACCTGGGTGGCTCAGGCAGTTGATCATCCAGTGTTGGCTTAGGTCATGATCTCACTGTTTGTGAGTTCGAGCCCCATGTTGGGCTCTGTGCCGATAGCTCAGAGACTGGAGTCTGCTTTGGATTCTATGTCTCCCTTTTTCTCTCTTCCCTTCCCCTGCTTATGGTTTCTGTCTACTTGTTTCCTTCTCGTGATTTTCAGCAGCTGGATGTAATAGTGCAACTCTATTAATACCACCATGAAAAGAGCAGCCAGTATTATTGATGGTGATGGGAAGTAACTTTGATTAATTTGCCTTAATGAGTATTTTTCTTTAAAAATGTTCTCAAATCTTCATTCAGTAAATATTTGGGGGCAACCAGTAGATTCTGATACTATGCTAGGCTTAGGGTTACAAGAGTGAGCAAAACAAATGTGGTCTTTGCCCTTATGATGCAGATTGCTAGGAATGGGAGGAGGTAGGTATTAATCAAATAATTGTACCTTGTTAGTGTAAGAGCATATAATGGGAGGTCGAGAAAACCTTCCCTTGGGGGAATGGAGTTGCAGTCTTAGAAATGAGTAGCAAAAAATGGTGGACAGAGCATTCTAGAGGTCTTTGTAGAATGAAGTGTGTGGCAAGCACAGGAAAGGAACTAGGGCTAGTGTGGCTAGAATGGGGAGGGTATGTGAGGTGAGGCTAAAGTAACAGATTATGGAATGGGAGTGAGGGCTGATAAGTATCAGGAAGCTAATCCAGGGAAACCAGTTGGGAAGCTAATATAATATTCCATGCCAGCGTGGTCATAGCTTAGACCAAAGTAATGGTGTTGGAGTTAGAAGTAAATAGACAAATGAGTTTTTTAGGAAGTAAAAAATGGGTAGGACTTGATGGTTCATTGGGAATAGATTCTTCATGCATAGCTCTCGATTTCAAAGTTGGTGGGTAGAAGTCTTGTTTATCATTACATGAGAAGAACACAAAGGTGAATTTTATAAAAATTATTATGGATCTCAGCAAATAGCCACAGTTGAAGTGCTATATTTTCTAGTTATAAAATTTATATTCCCTATTATTATCTATATAAGATATCTCTTTATAATGAAAATTATCTTATAACATCTATGAAATTAAACAGTATGGGAGGTGTTGCAAAAGAAGGCTGGCCCTTTTGTGTGACTTATTCGGCTGCCTTCCATTTCTTTAAAAAAAAAATTTTTAATGTTTTATTTATTTCTGAGAGAGAGAAACAGCATGCGCAGGGGAGGGTCAGAGAGAGAGCGAGACACAGAATCTGAAGACAGGCTCCAGGCTCTGAGCTAGCTGTCACCACAGAGCCCGATGCGGGACTCAAACCCACAAACCATGAGATCATGATCTGAGCTGAAGTTGGACGCTTAACTGACTGAGCTACACAGGCAGCCCTTCCCCCTTTTTTTTATTAAACATTTTTTAATGTTTATTTATTTTTGAGACCGCACAAGCAGGGGAGAGAGAGAAAGAGGGAGACACAGAATCTGAAGCAGGCTTCCGGCTCTGAGCTGTCAGCACAAAGCCCGAAGCCGGACTCGAACTCAAGAACGGCAAGATCATGACTTGAGCTGAAGTCAGATGCTTAGCTGACCGAGCTACCCAGATGCCCCACCTCTTTGCTCCTGAGGAGCAAAAGGATGGAGCTCACATTGTCTAGTTGCCACTTGCTATTCCTGGAATTAGTGAAAATTCAGAGTAGGGACTACAAGAGACAGCTTTATTACCTGGCACCCCTTCCCCACTCTCAGTCCCTCCAGGCCCTCAAAGAGACTGTACCCACATGGAACCCCAGAGATATAGCCCTGTCTAGGGGTACCTCGGTGCACCTTGGTGCATGAGTAGCACTGACAGCGGTTGCTGCAAATACGTCCTAGTGCTGATGTATACATACATACATCTGTACATATATTGAACCTTTCACATTGTGTTTAAACACAGTGAACATTAATGTTCTGATATCCTACTGTACGGATCACATGTTTTTATATGAAAAAGACTTTACCATGAAATAGACATCATTATGAAGGTATATGATGTATATATCATTTAGAATTCTTTTGCAATAGAATTATTTTCTGTATATGCATATATGCTAAGGAGTTACTAATCATGAAGAAAACTATTTTTTTTTTTAATGTTTTATTTATTTCCTAGGAGAGAGAGAGACAGCGTGAGCAGGGGAGGGTCAGAGAGAGAGGGAGTCACAGACTGAAACAGGCTCCAGGCTCCGAGCTAGCAGTCAGCACAGAGCCTGACGCAGGGCTCGAACCCACGAACGGCAAGATCATGACCTGAGCGAAAGTCGGACGCTTAACCGACTAAGCCACCCGGGCACCCCGAAAACTATTTTTTATTACCATCCAGGACATTCAAAAAGTAAGAGGTGTTTCCTTCTAGTAGAATACTTTCTGAAGAAAATGTATATGTGCTTATTTTAATAATGGAAGTGAATTCTACCTAATAAAAGTTTGTGTGGAACACTTTTACGTTGCTGCCATAAAATGAAATATTTGGGGCGCCTGGTTGGCTCAGTCGGTTAAGCTTCCAACTTCAGCTCAGGTCATGATCTCGTGGTTTGTGGGTTCAAGCCCCACGTTGGGCTCTGTGCTAATAGGTAGCTCAGAGCTTGGAGGCTGTCTTCGGATTCTGTGTCTCCCTTTCTTTCTGTCCCTCTCCTGCTCACGCTGTCTCTCTCTCTCTCTCAAAAATAAAATTTAAAAAACATTAAAAAAAGTTAAATAAAATGAAATGTTTAATGTCAGTATCACATTCTGGTCTATAATTCNACTTTGAAGTACTGAGTGTTTTGCAGCCAAGAAAAATTGAGCAAAATCTCTAAGTCTAAGGATTATTTCTTGTTCACATAGGAACATTTTATGAAACAAACGATCCACTTTTATGGCTAGAATTTACAGAAATATTTTATTTCTACTCTGCACATTTTGTGGAATCTATTCAAAGTATCTTTTCCTATGGAACAGTTCTGCTGTATCTGGAAAGAGACTGCTTGTTGAGTTTTACCTCATTTGGGAAAGATTCACATGGTGAGGAAATAACAAAGGTCCTTTCCTATAATCAGACTTTTCTGACCATCTTTGCCAGTCAGTGGGTGACGTATCCCAACATGGTTTTGAAGAAACATTTTCAGAAAGCCATATTTTTTCCTATAAAAACAATTTTCCAAAAAAATGTTTGAAGTCTATTTTTTTCCAGTGGCAAGTGGCCACTCCCCAATGAGGAGTGTATTAATATCCCCCTTTAGGGGTGCCTGGGTGGCTCACTTGGTTAAGCGTCTGACTTCGACTCAGGTCATGATCTCACAGATCATGGGTTCAAGCCCAGCGTCGAGCTCTGTGCTGACAGCTAGCTCAGAGCCTGGATCCTGCTTCAGATTCTGTATCTCCCTCTCTCTCTGACCCTCCCCTCCCTATTCATGCTGTCTCTCTCTCTTTCTCTCAGAAAAAAATAAAACATTAAAAAAAAATAATATCCCCCTTTATTAATAGTGAGTCAGAAAATAATGTTCTCCTACATAATTTACAGTGAAACAAATGTGTCTTAAACATACGGTGCTTAAGCAAAGCAATAATTTGGTATCTGGTAGCAACAATTTGAAAGTCGCTGATGAGAAAAAGTTTATTTTGACAAACGTGATGAGTTCTTACCACTTAAAACTCAGTTATCAGAAATTCTTTTTTTAAAAAATTTTTTGATGTTTATTCATTTTTTTTGAAAGAGCAAGTGGAGGAGGGAGAGTCTCTCTCTCTCTCTCTCTCTCTCTCTCTCTCTCTCTCTCTCTCCATAGCAGGCTCCGGGCCCTGAGCTGTCAGCACAGAACCCAGTGCGGGGCTCAAACTCAACGAACTGTGAGATCATGACGTAAGCTGAAATTAGCTGCTTAACCAACTGAGCCATCCAGGTGCCCCAATTATCAGAAATTCTAAATTCTGTCAAATGGCTCTTTTAATAGATTTGAATTTACTCCTTCTGCCCTTACTTTTCCCAGTTGACTTTTCATTAACCAAAAATAGGAGGTAAGGACATTGATCCATAGACAAGGTTTATTGTGTGATAGATTGATAGAGAATATATGACATGTGGAAATTACTTTTCACTTAACGTAAGAGATCTAAGTAGGTGGAGGTGACTTAATATTTTAAATGTGTTTGTTTCTTCTCTCCATAGCTCTAAGAAAAGTAGAAATCACTCCTGACTATATTGAATAGCAAAAACTAAGTGACTTTTCCTATACTGCAAATCATGGCACTACCATTCCGGAAGGACTTAGAGAAGTACAAGGACCTGGATGAAGATGAGCTCCTTGGAAATCTATCAGAAGTAGAACTGAAACAACTGGAAACTGTTCTTGATGATCTTGACCCTGAGGTTGGTGTTAATGGAATAACTTTTCAAACCTTTTGAAACTAAGTAACTTCTTTGAGCAGTTAGCTTTTTCATGACTTTTCTCAGATACTCCCCACATTCTCTCTTTATCCAAATGAACTTTTTGCCTCTTCTTAGTTCCCTCACTTGTGCCCCCACATCTCTATCACATGCCTATTCTAAACCATATTCACCAACACCCTTACTTTCAAACATCTGAAATTTTCTGTCCTGTATGAAATCTTTTCTCTTTGGACAGGAAGGAATGTTTTTGGTAAAATGAAGCAAATGATTAGATCTTTGATTTATGCCAACCTCTGTGCCTCTTCAGAGCTTGTGTACTATGATGGCCTTGTGTAGAGTGTCACTAGAGGGTTCTTTGTGACCTCAAATCTAATTGTTAACTTTCTGAAAGATGCTGACCAAATTGAGTAAGTTTCTAGTCACTAGTAGACTAGATCTAAGTAGACTCTCAGTGGTACTGCAGTCCATGTGGAACAGACCTGAATATATGTATATATGTTTTCATTGGCAAAGTGGATATTATTTGTCTTATAAATTAGTCAACTCCCTTGACACTGAATTGTTATTCCCTAGTATGTATGGGGTTGGAGGTGGGCCCTAAGGTTATGGCTACTTACCCTGAAGGTAAGGGTAGTAGGCTTAGGCTTCTTCTCTTTACCACATGTTTTTTTATGCTGATTTTTAGTGCCTTTTAAGAATTGAAATAGAGTTTGTTTTATAAAATTATTCTTGTTACTACCACATTTATTTCCTGCTGGAATGTTTTTGAATTTTTATTGAGAATTCTACTCCTTTCTTCAACATTACCTCAGCACTTCATTAATGTGTCTATACCATAGATCAAAACCCTTAACTGTAGGTATTATCAAAAGGAGAAGTTTTGTGGTACTCTTTATCAAAACCCTTAACTGTAGCTATTATCAAAAGAAGTTTTGTGGTACTCTTTAAGACTGGAGGTAACCCAGGATAACAGTGCTGGTTTGATCCTGTCACAACAGTGACAACTCTTCTACAAACAGTTGAACCTATTAGACCTGTTTCAATCAAATGGTTCTAGAACTGGCAGGAACCTAAGAGCTCATCTAGTCCAGAGTTTCCTTAACCTTGACACTACTGACACTTAGGGCTGGATAGTTCTTTGCTACGGGGGCTGTCCTCTGCATCCTTAAGTGATTCAGGAGTATTCTGGCCTCTACTCCCTACATGCCAATAGCACATGCCCCTGTTTAAAAATGTTCCTGGGATTTTGTTTTAATTAGCTATAGTAATATTACAGACATGGGGGGAAAAGAGTTTATTACTTACAGTTCCCAAGAGAGAACATGAGAAAGCACCTGGGTTGGTCAGGAAGCAGGAGCAGCAAGGATTAAGTATGTCCCGGAACCATTTTCGCGGTCTCCGAGGGAAGGAATGGGTGAGACAGGGTTGGCAAGTTTGAGCAAATTTAGAATTGGATAATTTGAGTAATTTCAGTGGGGTCTGGGCCACAGAAGTAGTCTCCAGTTTTCCAGTTACCTTGTCCTGGGTGATTTAAGGCAGGAGAAATCATGGTTTTCTGGGTGAGAGATAAAGGAGGTAGTTCGGATATGGATTCCGGATTGATTGATTTCATATGGAAAGTACACTGCTGGGTGGAGGGCAGAGGAAGTTGTTTGCTCTCCCTAGCAATTAGCCAGCCCCCAAGAAGGCAAAGCATTGTCAAATACAGAAAATAGAAAACATGGTTAACGCTTCCTCCCCTTAGTCATGACAACCAAAAATGTTTGCAGATGTTGCCAGTTGTCCCCTATGGGAGCCCCTCAGTTGAGAAACAATGACCTAGCACTTGTCCTGTGTTTGACAGATAGAAAACAAAAGTTAGATGGCTTGATTCAGTTACTACAGTTAGGGACAGAACTGAGATTAGATCCCTCACTGCCTGATGGCTCCCCGGCAGAGTCCAGTGATCTTTTTGCTAAACTGCAGTGAGTTCCCTATTAATACATGCACTATGTTATACATGTAAAAGCTGATGGTTTCTATTTTCTAACTTGCAAAACCACGAGGCCTGCTTCTTGTATGGGGAGGCTTGAGTTCTAACCTTTGGATGTTTTTTGCCAGTTTCCCAACCCCAGTTGCATTTCCCCCAACCTCAGATACTGTTAGTTGAGACTGGAAGAATAATGATGTTTATTGACAGCATGCCCCTTGTTGGGTAAAGTTTTGGGCAGGAGTGTCAGTGAAAGATGAGGTATGAAAAAGACAGCAACAGTAGTAGTGTCCACTTCAGGCAGAGAAATGCCACTGTAACTTGTAAATTCTCAGATGATAAGTAAGAGAAGAGCAGATAGAGGTTGTATATGGTTCCTTGTTATATTTTAGAGGGCTATTTTACTTTCCATATGCTGAATTCAGTATATTTATTTGCCAACCTACTGCATTTTCTCGAAACACCTATTTCTACGAGACAGCCAGCCAGCCTAGGCAAAAGCTATTTTTTTTATTTCCAAGTCTTGGAGTATATATATCATTACAACAAAATTGTACTATGAGGAAGAAACACATACTTTTTAATGGCAGTTATTTTAATGAGATCTTTACCTGTCCTAAAAGTATTATGATCTGGTAACTTGCCTAAAGTATACTTATAATAAAGCATGGTTGATGAGTTTATAGCCTCCAAAGCCAGTTACCTGTCATTTATTTTGTGTTCAAAAATGTTTTTTAGGAGCCAGCTAATCTATCATTTAAAACATGTTTTAGGGCACCTGGGTGGCTCAGGCAGTTGATCATCCAGTGTTGGCTTAGGTCATGATCTCACTGTTTGTGAGTTCGAGCCCCATGTTGGGCTCTGTGCCGATAGCTCAGAGACTGGAGTCTGCTTTGGATTCTATGTCTCCCTTTTTCTCTCTTCCCTTCCCCTGCTTATGGTTTCTGTCTACTTGTTTCCTTCTCGTGATTTTCAGCAGCTGGATGTAATAGTGCAACTCTATTAATACCACCATGAAAAGAGCAGCCAGTATTATTGATGGTGATGGGAAGTAACTTTGATTAATTTGCCTTAATGAGTATTTTTCTTTAAAAATGTTCTCAAATCTTCATTCAGTAAATATTTGGGGGCAACCAGTAGATTCTGATACTATGCTAGGCTTAGGGTTACAAGAGTGAGCAAAACAAATGTGGTCTTTGCCCTTATGATGCAGATTGCTAGGAATGGGAGGAGGTAGGTATTAATCAAATAATTGTACCTTGTTAGTGTAAGAGCATATAATGGGAGGTCGAGAAAACCTTCCCTTGGGGGAATGGAGTTGCAGTCTTAGAAATGAGTAGCAAAAAATGGTGGACAGAGCATTCTAGAGGTCTTTGTAGAATGAAGTGTGTGGCAAGCACAGGAAAGGAACTAGGGCTAGTGTGGCTAGAATGGGGAGGGTATGTGAGGTGAGGCTAAAGTAACAGATTATGGAATGGGAGTGAGGGCTGATAAGTATCAGGAAGCTAATCCAGGGAAACCAGTTGGGAAGCTAATATAATATTCCATGCCAGCGTGGTCATAGCTTAGACCAAAGTAATGGTGTTGGAGTTAGAAGTAAATAGACAAATGAGTTTTTTAGGAAGTAAAAAATGGGTAGGACTTGATGGTTCATTGGGAATAGATTCTTCATGCATAGCTCTCGATTTCAAAGTTGGTGGGTAGAAGTCTTGTTTATCATTACATGAGAAGAACACAAAGGTGAATTTTATAAAAATTATTATGGATCTCAGCAAATAGCCACAGTTGAAGTGCTATATTTTCTAGTTATAAAATTTATATTCCCTATTATTATCTATATAAGATATCTCTTTATAATGAAAATTATCTTATAACATCTATGAAATTAAACAGTATGGGAGGTGTTGCAAAAGAAGGCTGGCCCTTTTGTGTGACTTATTCGGCTGCCTTCCATTTCTTTAAAAAAAAAATTTTTAATGTTTTATTTATTTCTGAGAGAGAGAAACAGCATGCGCAGGGGAGGGTCAGAGAGAGAGCGAGACACAGAATCTGAAGACAGGCTCCAGGCTCTGAGCTAGCTGTCACCACAGAGCCCGATGCGGGACTCAAACCCACAAACCATGAGATCATGATCTGAGCTGAAGTTGGACGCTTAACTGACTGAGCTACACAGGCAGCCCTTCCCCCTTTTTTTTATTAAACATTTTTTAATGTTTATTTATTTTTGAGACCGCACAAGCAGGGGAGAGAGAGAAAGAGGGAGACACAGAATCTGAAGCAGGCTTCCGGCTCTGAGCTGTCAGCACAAAGCCCGAAGCCGGACTCGAACTCAAGAACGGCAAGATCATGACTTGAGCTGAAGTCAGATGCTTAGCTGACCGAGCTACCCAGATGCCCCACCTCTTTGCTCCTGAGGAGCAAAAGGATGGAGCTCACATTGTCTAGTTGCCACTTGCTATTCCTGGAATTAGTGAAAATTCAGAGTAGGGACTACAAGAGACAGCTTTATTACCTGGCACCCCTTCCCCACTCTCAGTCCCTCCAGGCCCTCAAAGAGACTGTACCCACATGGAACCCCAGAGATATAGCCCTGTCTAGGGGTACCTCGGTGCACCTTGGTGCATGAGTAGCACTGACAGCGGTTGCTGCAAATACGTCCTAGTGCTGATGTATACATACATACATCTGTACATATATTGAACCTTTCACATTGTGTTTAAACACAGTGAACATTAATGTTCTGATATCCTACTGTACGGATCACATGTTTTTATATGAAAAAGACTTTACCATGAAATAGACATCATTATGAAGGTATATGATGTATATATCATTTAGAATTCTTTTGCAATAGAATTATTTTCTGTATATGCATATATGCTAAGGAGTTACTAATCATGAAGAAAACTATTTTTTTTTTTAATGTTTTATTTATTTCCTAGGAGAGAGAGAGACAGCGTGAGCAGGGGAGGGTCAGAGAGAGAGGGAGTCACAGACTGAAACAGGCTCCAGGCTCCGAGCTAGCAGTCAGCACAGAGCCTGACGCAGGGCTCGAACCCACGAACGGCAAGATCATGACCTGAGCGAAAGTCGGACGCTTAACCGACTAAGCCACCCGGGCACCCCGAAAACTATTTTTTATTACCATCCAGGACATTCAAAAAGTAAGAGGTGTTTCCTTCTAGTAGAATACTTTCTGAAGAAAATGTATATGTGCTTATTTTAATAATGGAAGTGAATTCTACCTAATAAAAGTTTGTGTGGAACACTTTTACGTTGCTGCCATAAAATGAAATATTTGGGGCGCCTGGTTGGCTCAGTCGGTTAAGCTTCCAACTTCAGCTCAGGTCATGATCTCGTGGTTTGTGGGTTCAAGCCCCACGTTGGGCTCTGTGCTAATAGGTAGCTCAGAGCTTGGAGGCTGTCTTCGGATTCTGTGTCTCCCTTTCTTTCTGTCCCTCTCCTGCTCACGCTGTCTCTCTCTCTCTCTCAAAAATAAAATTTAAAAAACATTAAAAAAAGTTAAATAAAATGAAATGTTTAATGTCAGTATCACATTCTGGTCTATAATTCTTTATTGAATGAGTGATCTGTGGAAGCATATAGTGTTGGCATTCTTGGAGGTCATAATGGCTGATTCATTCTCTTTGGCAGAATGCCCTTCTGCCTGCAGGGTTCCGGCAGAAGAATCAGACGTCAAAGTCCGCCACAGGGCCATTTGATAGAGAACACCTCCTTTCATACCTGGAGAAGGAGGCATTGGAGCATAAGGACAGGGAAGACTATGTGCCTTACACTGGAGAAAAAAAAGGTAAATTTTGAAGTCATTATTTGATAGTATTTGATTTTTCTTTTTCTAGGTAAGGTAGGTCTGGAGAAATATTTTTAGAGATGCATCATTAGTAGCCTTAAAGATCTGACATTGTTGACTTAGAAACTTGGTAGGTAATTTGGGTCTTCATTTGCATTTTTCATCAACTTGGCCAATAAGTTCCTTCTTAATGATTCGTGAGATTTTATCATACAGTGATTTTATAGAACACTCTAGTTCTCTACTGTAACATGTTTAAAAGTATGCTGAGGTTCACTCGTGTATTTCAGAATGCAAATGATGTCAAAGCAGCGCTCTGTTCTAACTCCTGTCTTTAAGGAGAACTGTCATAAAATAATTCAGGCCATATTTTCAAAGACTCTATTTATTTTTTTAAATGTTTTTTATTTATTTCTGAGAGAGAGAGACAGCATGAGCAGGGGAGAGTCAGAGAGAGAGGGAGACACAGAATCCGAGGACAGGCTCCAGGTTCTGAGTCAGCACAGAGCCCAAGGGAAGGCTTGAACCCACAAACTGAGATCATGACCTGAGCCGAAGTCGGACGCTTAACCAACTGAGCCACTCAGGCGCCCCTGAAAGACTCTTTTTAAAGGATGCCTTACAGCCTTCCTTAGTAATTCATAGTTATAATTGTCAGTGCTTCGTAACCATTACTTCAGGAAAGTTTTCTAGTCTAGATCCCTCCTGTTGTAGTTTGACCTTAGGTAGCCTCAGTGGAGACTGAGTATAGCCATGAATTTTAAAGTTCTATATATATATCACACAACATGAAGTAGATGAAGCTTCTCAGCTTTCAGTGCATGTTGGCCTGCAAAGGTAGTCTGCTTGCACCCTTGTTTAGGGTATCATGTATGGAATACTGGCAAATGGTGGCAGCAGTTGCAAGATCTGAAGATTAGCTCTTCCCGGCACTGTTTTTACATCTGAATCCTTAGTAATCCAGACAGGAAAAAGGTTAGAGCACAGTGCTTTCTTCTAGTTAGGCTTTAGCTCTTGATAAGGAAGCCCTTCTCAAGAATTTGGCCACAGCTCTGTACATGGCTACTCCTTCATGGCAAAGGAAGCTGGAAAATTCATTTTAGCATTCTAGCCTCTGTAATAGAGGAAGGCTAGTGAATGATTTTTGAGTGGGTAATTCATGAGGTCTTCATTAAGCCTTTTATCTATCATCCCCAATTCGTTTGCTCTTTCACTACACCCCACCTCCCCTTTTTCTCTAGTTCAGCATCATTACCTTAGCTACTTGTTTTAGAGTTCTCTAGAGAAGTAGAAACAGAACCAAAAGGCTCTGTTGGGGAGGGGATGAGATTTATTTTAAGGAATTGGCATATATGATTATGGAGGCTTATTAAGTTTGAAATCTGCAGGATAGGCCAGGAGCCCAGAGACCTAGGGAAGAGCTGCAGTTCAAGTCCAGAGGCAGTCTGGCAGCAGAATTCCTTCTTGCTCAGAGATCAGTCTTTGTTCTGTTAAAGCTTTCAGCTGATTGGATGAGGCCCACCACATACGGCTTTACTCAAAGCCCACTGATTTAAATATCAGTCTCATTCAAAAAACACCTTCACAGAAACACCCATAATAATATTTGACCAATTATCGGGCACCATGCCCAGCCAAATTGGCTCATAAAGTTAACCATCACACTACTGTTAGAGACGGGGATGTTTAGGGCCAGAAAAAGGACTGAAAACCAATATGTAGTTTTGAAGTATGGAGCATCACAGATATGAACAAAAATGTCAGTTCCTTTGTGTTTATCACAGAAAAGACTACTGGTTATGCTTTCATCTGGACAACCATATCTATAACGTCACAGTGTTTATAGCTTCAATCCAGTTTATATAGTAGAACATGACTTTATGAGAATAAATGTTGGTTGATCACTTTTTACTCTTATGTGTGTGTTAGACTTGGGGAGTATAATTAGGAAGAAGAATGGGGGTAGAAATGGAGGCAGAGATGTGAGAAAAGAGATGGCAGGAAAAAAATGTGGAATTTGAGGACAAAAAGGAAATAAGAGATGTGAAAGAGCCGGGTTTGTCCTAAACTGACCCAGGAAGCTTCCCAGTATGCTCTTGTTTCATAATCTCCAGTTGCCTAGGGAAAGATCTTGGAGGATTAGCGGGAGTAGGAAAAAAGGTAGAGAAGAATTGTGGAAAACAAGGAAATATCAGAGGGGAGAAATGACAGAGGCAAGGAACCTGGGTGACAAGGGGAAAAAATGCTGTATCTTCCTTCAGCTGGAGTGTAATAATTTTTGTTTCTTTTTATAACTTACTTATTTTTAACTTTTTTTTAAAAGTTTGCTTTTGTGAGAGAGACAGAGCATGAGTTGGGGAGGGGCAGAGAGAGACACACAAAATCCTGAAGCAGGCTTCAAGGTCTGAGCTATCAGCACAGGGCCTGACACGGGGCTCAAACCCATGAACTGACAGAGCATCCAAAGCTTACAGTGCAGAGACCAGTGCAGGTTTGAACTCATGAACTGTGAGATCATGACCTGAGCTGAAGTCGGATGCTCACCCAACCGAGCCACCTAGGCACCTCATTTTATAACTTAAAAAAATTTTTATCTCATTTCTTAGACTTTGGATGGGTATGAAAGAAACAGAAGTAGTTGAGTTAAAAAGCAAGTAATTTTACGTTCATAATCAGTTGTTTTCTTTTTATAATACATTCATTATTTTTACTGCTTCTTTTAGCTGTGTGTATTTGTTGAATACTATTTATGGGCAGCTATGATGCAGTGACTAAGACTGGCATTTTTAAAAATAATGAACTTTTTCCTGAAGCATAACATGCTTACAGAAAATGCACAAATCGAAGGATATAGCTCGGTGGATTATATACTGATCACAGCCATGTAGTCACTATCCAGCTTCTTCCCAGTCACTTTTCCCTCTGTTTTCAGAGGTTACCACCATCCTAGCTTCCTATCATCTGTCTTTGTTTCTGCACATGCACAAGTAAGGTAGGGGAGGAGGGAGAGGGAGGGACAGAATCCCAAGTAGGCTCCACACTCAGCATGGAACCCAACATAGGGCTCAAGCTTAGGACTGTGAGATCATGACCCAAGCTGAAATCAAGAGTTTGACAATTAACTACCTAAGCCACTCAGGTGCCCCCACCACTCCTAGTGTCTAATACAATCAGTTCTGCCTGTTTTAAAATTTATGTAAAAGGCATCATACAGTCTGAATTATCTGCTTTGCATCATTCATGTAGTTTTTGTGTGGACCAGATTTGTTAATGGGTATAGTGAAAACACTGTAAAAATTCTTTATGGTGTAGTCATTTTATTTTTAAGTTTATTTAGGGAGAGATGGACAGTGTGAGCAGGGGAAGGTGAGAGAGAGGGATGGAGAATACCACGTAGGCTCCATGCTGTCAGCATGGATCCCAGTGCGGGGCCCAATCTCATAACTGTGAGATGATAACCTGAACTGAAATCAGGAGTCAGATGCTTAACTGACTGAGCCACCCAGGTGCTCCTGTGGTGATATAGTCATTTTAAAGGATTGTAAGGGTGATGTTATTACCAAACAAGGGACTTATTTCTGTCATGTTGGAGTGGTCCAGAACCACAGAATGAGGTTTGAATTTCAGGAATCCATGTGATGGAAACAAATACTACCACCCTAGACTGGGTGGGTCAAGCCTTAGAAACCATGCTTCAGTATTGTACAGAGAAGCACAAATTAGTCTTTAGCAATTGGGAGACTTTTGTTGTAGAGCTCTACTTTGAAATACTGTAGAGCTAAAAGCGAGCTCTCATGTTCTCAAATCCACTCTAGGCTCCCATCCTTAAATCAGTTAGCTTTAGTTATCCTTAGTCACTAATGTGCCTTCCTTTCTTTGGGTCTCATCCTCAAGATCTTGATCACATTCTAGAAGATCCTGAGAAGAATTCATCTATATCTTCTTAGTATACCTTCCAACTGAGCTAAATGTGAATCCCCTCCTTAGCTTTGAAAATCCCAATGCATGTTTTTTTAAGATGTATGTATGTTTCTGAGATGTTTAAGATGCTTGTCCTATGACTTTTTACCCTGAACACCTGGATTGAGTCTGAATTCCTTACTTAATAGCTTATTTCTTAGGAGATAGTCTTTCAGATTGAGGCTGCCTTTTAGGCAGTAGAAGTTCTCTTGGTTCTTTATTTTTTAAAAAGGTTTACAAACCTGTTAAGAAAAGCATTTTACTTTTTTGTGTACTTGGACTAGTTAGAACATGTAAAATGTGCCATTGGTCTCTAAACTAAAAGAAAAATTTTTTACACTAAGATGCTATGTTGCAGAATTCAGTGCCCAATGACAGTATTAGCTCTCTGTGCCAGTGCATGTTATAGCAATGTCCCTTAGTTCCAAGTTATACGCCAAAATCACACAGTGATCTCACTTTGTAATTATTGTCAAAGATTGAAAAGATGACGATTCAATTTTTTTAAGCAAAAAATTGGGAACCACTAAAAGAATTATCCAGTCATTAAAGTTGACTGCTTTCTCATATTCTGAGAGTAAATGATTAATTATACTTGTTCACGTAAAGACACACCCTCTTTGTGAAGATAAAATTACAAAGAATTGGTGTGACCAAAGGGAATCAATGTAAAACTGAAAATTGGACATTTCATGATTCTTGCTTTTAACAAAAAGTGTATATGCATCCCAAATTTTGTCTTACTAGATCATCTCAAAAATGTTTTTGTTTTTTTGTTTTTGTTTCGAGAGAGAGTGAGCACAAGTGGGGTAGGGGCAGAGAGAGAAGGAGAGAGGGATAATCCCAAGGAGGCTCCATAATGTCAACTCAGAGCCCAGTGCAGGGCTTGAATTCATGAACTTGTGAGACCATGACCTGAGCCCAAATCAAGAGTCTGACGCTTAACCAACTGAACCACCCAGGCACACCTCCAAATGTTTTAAAAAGACATGAAAGACTAAAAAGGACTCTTGAGAGTGGTTATATATAAATTAGTAATT